GGGGGGGGGGGGGAAGAAAGCCAGGTGCCATTTACGTGTTTGTGTTGGGTTGTCTCTTCTATGACTAACGCGAGGATAAAGCATCGCATAGAGGAGATTGCGAGCGAGAGAGAGAGAGATGGGCGCTTCTTCATCGGTTTCCGAGAAATCCATCCATCAATTCACTGTCAAGGTAGGTCTTTCTTCCTTTTGTATGCCTAATTTTGCTCCAAAAGATTTCCTATGAAATTCCGATGGCTGGGGAAATCAGGATAGCTCCGGCAAGGACGTCAACCTGAGCAATTACCAAGGGAAAGTGCTTCTCGTTGTCAATGTCGCTTCCAAATGGTCCGTCTCCTCCTCTCTTTTCCTGATTTGGTTTCTATGATCAGTAGTAATTAATCCGTGTTTTGTGTTTGGGAAACAGCGGTTTCACGGAATCCAATTATACACAGCTGACCGAACTCTACCGCAGATACAAGGACTCAGGTCTCTTTCCTTATTCATCTTTTGAATTATGTTGCATACGCGCTTTTGCGTTACATATATCATGAGGTAATCAATCCCTTTGTCTCCAAGGCTTTATTTGTTGGTTCTAATTATACATGCAAATAAGAAGAAATTCGATGGATGCTTTCAGGGTTTGAGATATTGGCGTTTCCCTGCAACCAGTTCTTAAACCAAGAGCCAGGGACTAGTCAGGAGGCTCATCAATTTGCTTGTACACGATTCAAGGCCGAATACCCCGTTTTCCACAAGGTAGGGTCAACTTCTCAATACCTGATGATATTTATTTATATTGTCCAACGGCTGAACTTGTGCTTGTGTTTAGTTGAGATCAGGTTGATAACGTGCGCGTCAATGTTAAAGCTTTGTCAAATTTATCTTTGAGCTTGTGGTTGCTGCATTTGGAGCGAGGTTCATAGCAGTTACATGTTTTATATTGATAATAATTGGATTTGTTTTGTTTGTTCATTTACTGAATTACATCCGTGGGAGCTTTGTTTACAGAATATCATGTCGTTTTCATGTTGTAGACTGTTCACTGTGGGGGAAACCCACATAATCATTCCAGATTTTACTGGAACATAAACAACTCTTGCAAGAATGGTTAGATGGATGTTCCCTTTCTCTGTTTTGGCATATTAGAGAAAAGATGTGCAGTCTTTGTGCCGTCACAAGGGAAGAAACTTCCAATTCGTGAGGCTTTACCACAATATGTCACTGTCATCATGAAACTTGTGACACTCTTTAACCCACCTGGTGCTCCTGAATTTGGAGTTTTCAAATACGTTGCATTTGTTTGTTGGTTGACAGCCTTTTGCTGAGTCCTTGGATGTTAGCTTTCTGTCTTGATGGAACTAATGTGTTTGGATCTGGGTCATAATAGGTGCGTGTAAATGGTGAGAACGCAGCACCTGTCTACAAATTCCTCAAGGCGAGTAAGCCTGGACTTTTGGGTTCCAGAATCAAATGGAATTTCACCAAGTTCTTGGTCGGCAAAGATGGCCGTGTGATTGACCGCTACGGACCCACCACACCGCCATTATCGATCGAGGTCCCCCTCTCTCTTCCACTGCGTCTATCTTTATAATGCATGTCAGAGAAAGGGTGCTCATTTTTAGCAGTTGGTTCATGTAACAGAAAGATATCAAGAAAGCCCTGGGGGAGGCTTGACTGTTTTCGGTGAAGTGGCTTGTGTCCTAAGGCAATCGATAGAAGAAATCTTGTAATGTAGTTTGCAGTTTCCTCCCTCACTGTCGGTTTTGGTTTGTAAAAGAAACCCGTTTCCTGTTCTGTATTTAAGGGTTCCCACTCACACTCAGACAGATGGTTTGGACATTCCACGTGTGCTCTCTGTCTTGCCCCCACAAAAATTCTGGTAAAATTCTAGTATTCTAATGGTGAATTTTGGCTGTTTAGTTTTAGAGTGCCTGTGTTACATTTTCCCCAAGGTATTTAAATATGTCAGAGCTAGGATTTACAAACTCAACTCCCTAACCAATGAACAGTTTTATAATTTGAATTTCCGTGTAGGAGAGAACTGTTATATATACATATAATGAAAGGTCAGTGTATAGCGTATGGTATTAAACAACGACGTATCATTACAAGAAACAGAAAACCCCAAGCATAATACGTTGATTAACTATTTTCTCAGTCATATCAAATTCGTCCTCATTATCAGTACAGTAACCTCAACAATCATTTATACATAAGTCTCGTGATAGTGTTGGACATTCGACCGACCCTTTCCCATAATCATTGATTAGACAGACAACCCACCCTTAACCAACCTCTCTCGTACGCTAATTATCTCAATCTCCAAATGACCGTTATTTCAATTGGGTTTCATCTTTTCATACCTTTTAGTTGTGGCCATAATATTTGATAGAAAACATTAATTATATCTCACGCTTACACATGCAGACATAGAAAGAAAACACTAATTATAGTTATAAAACAACCAATTACGACCACACAAAGTTCTAATTACAAAAGGTAACTTCCATGTCTATGTTAAAATGCTGAGTTTACCTCCTGTTTTTACGTTATATTCGTTGACGATTTGAGCAGGTACGAATAGAAACGAATTGGATCCACTATATAATTATATATATAATGTTTGTTTAGTTCTGAAGAATATAATTAATACATGTGACCTTTGACCAACTCGAAAAGTAAATGGAAAAGGGCATATATATATATATATATATATATGCGTGATGTGGTGGGATGGAATTAATGTATTTTAAAATTATGTTAAAATCTTAACCAACAAATCACAGACTAATCAACCCCTAATCAGGAACAAGTCATAAACGACATAAAAGCCCCACAACTCATCATTATCTCTCGTGTGTGCATGAACACATTCAGTTTCTAAATTCATATTGTCAGTTTCACAATTATTTTATTGGGGAAAGACTATAATTTAACTTTGTAACATGTTCTAATGACTTCACATATCCTTCTTCTAACCATGAATTAGTTCTTACTGCTTCAATTAGTACATATATAGGACTAATTGATACGAGGAAACATAAAAGCCCAAAATCACATAATACATACTCCCCATTCTCCTCCTCCTCATCCCCTCTCTACATTAATTTGAACTTCAAAACCTGCTTGAAATGGCGGCGGCTGTGTATCCTGGGAAGACCCGGGCGTGGCAGAGATGTTCGAAGCAGATCAGAGAGCAAAGGGCCCGTCTCTACATCATTTGGAGATGCACTCTCTTGCTTCTGTCTTGGCATGATGACTAGTCCACTTGAAGATAGAATACGTACCACACACACTCTGTTCAAGCTGTACACCGAGTCTTGAGCGGCTTTGTTAGAAACATTTGTACAGAATGCCCAAATTCCTGATTTCAATCTTCTACTTTCTGTATAGTTTGAAGAACAGTGTCTATAATTGTTATTAACCAATAACAGACCGACACGCGTCAACCATCCTAATAAATAAGCCCTTCAAAAATCAGACGCATCTGGAGGCCAGCCATCGAGAAGGACGAACGGGTCAATTTTGTCCCGAAAGATTACGCTTCAATGTCAAAGTTAAGACCTTTCTCGATCTCGATCCTCTTTTCTTCCTCAAACAAGTGCTGAATTTCTCGAGGGTTTAAGCTGAGATGATTGTTTCGAAATCGTGTAAGCTGTTGATGATCACCAAGGATAAGGTCATCAGCGCGGATAAATCGGTGTGAATTTGGCCCCGAGATACCCCAACTGTTTCCGATTAATAGGTTTTCCAGGAGAAGACCGATCTTTTCTCGAAATCGGTAGTAGACGAAACCCTAAAAGCAGGGGTTCGATTCCGGCCCAATTTCAGCGTGAAATTGCCACCAGGGGCTGGATAGAGCATGACTACTTATGGCCATACCAGGATGTGCGCAATTTAGACCAAGCTTCCACAGAGATGGGGAGAAATGATGTCTCTGTCGGTTTTCAAAGGCTTTCTCGAGTCGCCATTGGGGTGTCTTCTACTTGTCCCTGAAAGGAGGGATCAGGACAGCGATCGAGAGAGGCTTATGGGGATGATGAGCCGATCGAGAGAGATCCGTTCAGGGAAAGAGAGACTGAGATGGCACGAAACAGAGGACAGATGGAGCCTCTCTGCTTCCCTACCATGTCTCCTGAAACTTTTAGCAGGTATCTGACTTAATTTGGTTTTTTATTTATTTATTAAAGGAGCTTGGTGCAATATGCTCCATCGTTTGCTCGAATCGAAGAAAAGATAGGTCGTTTTCCTCTGCCACAATCCATGTGTCATGCAGCTGAATTGGGATGCTTGGATTGCAGCGAATGGATTCAGTTCTGTTTCATTGAGCACTTGATATACATCTTTCAGTTCCTCTGGTTATGAGATTTCCTCTTTGTCTGTTTCTTTTGCTCCCCAAGAGGATCTTTGTCACACTGTTGTTTGGTTATGAGATTTCCTCTTTGTATGATATACATACACACTGATTAAGGTACAACTGTGTGGAAACGGCGTTCTGGTTTGAAACAGGTTTGTGCTGAAGGAAGAGGGAGAGATCTAGAACCAACCTAACTCCCAAAGTCACACAAATCAGGTGAAATGATCACCTAAAATACTGGTGGGAGCAAACCACAACAGATCCAATTCTCCACCCTCTTTGCGCCCCCACCCCTTTTCTGCAGCTTCAGATCTTTTATATATAACCACAGCTATCAACCCACCACTCTCCACACACCGATGATTTCGGGAGAAGCCAAAGGGATGAGACTCCAATGGCAAGCGGCACCCCTTCTCCTGCTTCTTCTGATGCTGTCCGCCGTACGCAGCCAGAGGATGCCCATTCCTGCCCAGCGGCCACTCTGCACCTCCCAGTACGCGTTGGCTAATTACGCATGCTCCCATCTGCCCTTGATCCCCAACCCCCCTCTCCCTTCTGCCTCCCAGCTTCCTCCCCCTCCCGCACCGGAGGCTAACCCACCACCCTCACCACCAGCCCATCCAACTCCTGACAATGACCATGACGATGACCACGACCATGACCATGACCATGAGCACGAGGACCACCACCGCCACCACCACAGCAGCCACAAGCACCACCACCACGGGCACCACAGGCACAAGGCTCGCAAGGTTGAGTATAAGGAGTCGTTTGCAGAGGCAGAATGTTGCAAATGGCTGAAGCAAATGGACAACGAATGCGTGTGTGACCTTCTCCTTCACTTGCCCCCTCTTCTGGCGAGGCCTGTTCACGACTACACCGTCTTTGTGGACGAGTCCTGCATCGTCACTTTCTCCTGCGGCGGTAGATTCATCCGGTGATTCGTGGATAATATGTCGTCATCGTAATGTTTTCTGACTTCCTTCCCTTTCCCTTTGTATGAGATTTTATGATATATATATGTTGAAAATCTTCTCAAATGGTTCTCTGTTTCAATAAAGTTACAGCCTGTATTGGATCTCGGGTGGTTGGTTATGTCTTAATTAGGTTTCCTTTTCTTTTTTTATATTATGATGCTAAATCAACCGTTGTGCATTTTGATCGTATTTCTCTTGGAACAACAACCGCAAGGGCACTCAGTTCCGCTGTTGTTCTAAAAGATGATAAGACACAGTGATTCTTCTTTGTTCATTGGAAAAAGGAAAAGAATCGAGCTCCCAGCAAACACAGGTCGACACGACTCGTGAATGGGACCTTGCATGGGATGTCTAGTCATATGCTTGTCAGATATGATTCTTTGGCCACAAACAACACCAAATGACTACCGAGTTTTCCTCCAACTTGTCCTTTGTCTTCTTCTTCTTCTCTCTCTCATTATATTTTTCAAGAGCATTCTCTTTTTTAAACTTTTGGAAAAAGAGATTCAAGTCAACACCATATTGGCATGCTTCTATACATCATTTTGTACCCAAAAAAAATAACCATACAAGGTTCTTTTGTTTTCATTTTATTTTAGTGTTAAAGAAACTTTCCAATGTTTCTACAAAATTTTCAAACTGATCAAACTCACAGGAGGAGGCTTTTTTAGGTTTGTGCGAATATTTTAATTTGTCAACTCGAATTATTCGCTATCTGTACGTACCAGTGTGTAATCAAATCAAATAGTGTTGTTAAGGCGATACCTGCATTAAGCAACGAATGATTGATCATAAATATCAAAGCTAATGCCAAAATTTCATATTTGTTTATTTTTTTTTTTTTAACGTACTCCCAAAATCTCGTAGAGATAATAATATTGTCACATCATCGCTGTGACCAAAAAGTGTTAGCGTGTATCTGATTCGTTTTGTAGTATAGTTCGATGGGAGAGATCAGGCCACGAGACACCGAGCCATGTTGCGTTCCCCGCGGGGAGCGGAGAGGAGGAACCTGGAGAGGGCGTGCGTGCTGGGACCCACTGCCAGCCTCTCCCAGGCCACGTCTGCATCGACAGTACTCCTCCTCTGCCGGAAAACGGCGGTGGCGTCGAGCCTTTGGATGCTCCATTTCTTCGCCCTCACGAGCCGTTCGATCTTCTGCCTCTGCCGACAAGCCAAAGCGCACGTGTTCCTCTTGACATCTTCGATCACTTCCCTCAGCAGCTCCTCCCTCTCCCGAGAGTCGAGGAACGGCTCTGCCCTGAAATAACTGTCCAACTCCGGAACTCCGATGGCCTTTCTGCTCCCTCTCGTGTAATCCGTGTCCCACAAATCGAATATCTCCCTCACTTCCTCGACCATCCCCTTCTCCACCATCTTATCCACTCTCTCCGACACAAACCCGTGCAAGACCGGCATCGACACGTCCACCCACAGGAAACAGCACTCGTACTTTGATCTGAACCTGTAGTCTTCGTCGTCGACGAGAGCCTCCACGTGAGAGTTAGAGCCTCCGACGATGATGGGGAGCTTGCCGCGGCTCAGGATGGACTCGACGGAGAGATTTGCCATCTGGCGGAAGTTGGCGGCGGTGAAATCGGCGTTGGGAGGCAACACGCCGAGGAGATGGTGAGGGACGCCGCAGCTTTCCTCGGCGGTGATCTTGTTGGTGAGAATGTCGAGGCCTTGGTGGACTTGGATCTTGTCGGAGTTTATGATCTCCGCCGGGAAACGGGTGGCCAGGTCGACGGAGAGTCGTGATTTTCCAGTGCCGGTGGCGCCCATGATGATGACAACCTTGTCTTTCGGGGGGTGGAGGTTGAGGCTGAGGAAGTTGGGATTCAGTCTCGCCGGGGAGAAGTCGAGCTGCGGCGGCGGCAATGGCTGTTGACACACGCTCATGCATATCTTCATCATCGTGTAATGTGTATGCGGGGATCGATATTAATGCGTCTGACCTTTTATTAACTAAAGCAAGGTCAGAAGGTATGTAAACAAGTGTCGCGTATATACATAGTTTTATATGTATCGATCTCTGTTTAGTGTAATGATATCTTGTTCCGTGTAAGGTGTGGGTTTGGATGACGGCTATATATATACAGATACAGGATATGCGACGCTTGAAGAAAGTAAGCGGAATCACAAATGGGGCAAGTTGAGCTCACTCTTTTTTCCTGGTCAATATTCATCTGGCTTTTGCTTTTGTTTTTTCCTCAACTGAAATATATCAAGATTATGATTTAATCATTTATCTGTCAAGGAAATTGGTATATATGTATATGGTATAAGCAGTTGGGACAAATTAAATTCCAGATGGAAAGAGT